TCGTTTGTCTTTCGTTGCTTCGTTCGATTTGATTCTTTGGCCAACCGGAGTTCTTAAGTTGAACCTTCTGGTTAGATCTTTTGTTTGAGTTTTGCCTATGCATTAGATGAGTACTTATTGTATGCTCGTTTGTTTGTTTGCGATAGAGTATCCAGAGTGCGCCGCTTGTTACTTCGAATCGCTAGGTTTCCCGGATCATCAGCAAGGCAAGTAACACTTTGATCATACCTTTTCTACTACCCAGTTTTATTGTATTAGATCAATCCTCACACATTGCATGATTAGGATCTAATTAAATTGTGGGATGGGAAGTAGATGAGGTAGTACCTATTACCTGTTTATTTTCAAACCTTTGGGAGTTACTTCTACGTTTGCTTATTATGCCATGCTATGCTAGTAGACGTGGATTGGGTGAGTGAAATTCATGATAGATGTGAGATTGTTAATTAATGGTTTATCTAAGGTGGCAACTTAAACACACATCTGGGTGAATTGAGGCACCTGGGTATTCCAGGACTTGCCTGTTTTTTTGGACCGCCACCCAGGCTCAAAGTGATCATAAGACTATTCATACTAGAAACTTCCGTGTGCAGCCACAAGCTATTATGGGCTCTAGCATAATTGACTAAGTTGTGCGAACTCTTACAGTGGTAGACTAGCAGATGTAGGGGATGTAGGTGGTACGGTCTACCCGATCGTAAGGTGCTAGCGCTTCTGAAAGACTATGTCTCGGTCATCCGTCTTCTCAAACACCTTGTAGTGCGAGAAATCAAACGGAGGCGATCGAGTCTTGTGGGGAAAAGTGCGTAAACCTCTGCAGAGTGTAACAAACTAATTATGATTAGCCGTGTCCCCGATTATGGACATCTTGAATATCTAGTACCTGAATTTTCATGTGAATCTCAACATGTTACTCTAAATTAATTTTGTTGGGTTATTTTAATGATGATGCTTAAGTGGGATTGGGAATGCTGTCAACCATTCTCAATGTTTAACAACTACCATGATAGTTAAATAAATTTTATTCCTTTGAAGTAGGGAAAAATTGGCTTTACGCAAAAACTATAACCATAGAGCTTTTCACCAGCCAAATATGCATATAGTATAGTTGTTTCATTCCATTACTCTCTATGTGTTACCTTACCAACATATTCTATGTGCTGACCCGTTTTCGGGTTGCAACGTTAATGTTGCAGACTTTTCAGACGATGATTAAGGAGTTTTTAGGTCGTGGTTCTATACTCAGTGATGCCGTTGGAGTTGATGGACTCACTTATCTTCCAAGCCTTCCGCTGTTATCGTTATTAGATAGGCTTAAGCCATATTTATTGTACTAAGTTCTCTTATGAGACACTCGATGTAATAAGTGTGTGATTGCTACTCTGCTATAAATCCTCCGAGTACTGTGTGGTGTCAGCATTACTGATCCAGGGATGACACCGGAGCACAGAGATCAGACTGTTTGAGGTCTAGTCGCTACAATGGCAAAGCGCCAGAACTAGCAGCCGTCCCGGGAGGGGCTGGGAATGGCGCCAACGCTAACCTTAGCGTGCCGCCAGTTCGGCCTTGCGATGGGAGTTGGTGTTTGAATCGTGGGAGGAGGAGGAAGATGGAAGTGGGGAGGAGGACGATGGACATAGCGAATAGATCGAAGGGAGCCTCATACCCGTCCGCCTTCGAGGGTTTCTCGTTACCTTGTTTTTTTTTTCGTTACCTGTGTGGGACGAAAAAGAACCCAGATGAATGTAGGAGGTGAGACAAAAAACCAGACGAAGGTGGGAGGTGGGATGAAAAAAACCCCCGGAACAGAGACCACCAACTGCTCCATTAGAAATAGAAATTTCAACATCCACTATAACCTCCTTTTTACACTAATTCGCCTAGTTTCGAGGCACTTTTTCTGTATTCCATCCAAATGACCATTCGTATAGTTTTCCTCCATTTTGTAATCCTCTGTTTTGCACCTGTAATCCCATCAATTTTTTTGGTATTTTTGAATTTCTGTATTTTCAAATTCTACTCCCTCCTTTTGAAAAGCCCTCACCCAGGCATATGACCCAGGGCAGCAACAAAACGGATCCTTCTCAGGCGCAATAGCGTGCGTAACGAAGGTCTGCCGCCCCGCGAATCAACCTGTGGTTGAGTTGGTTAGATGGACAGTGGTATTCCCAACCCACCATGGTTCAAATCCTGGTGCTCGCATTATTTCTGGATTTATTTCAGGATTTCCGGCGATATGCTTTCAGTGGGAGGAGACGTTCCCGTCGACGACGAGGTGCCTGCGGTGACTTCGTAAAATCTCAAGATGATATGCCGGCTCAGTCTCTCGAAGGTGCTTATAGGGGTAGGGTGTGCGTGTGTGCGTTCATAAAGGTGAGTGTATGCACGTGTATATGAGCGCTTGTGTCTGTACTGATGCTAAAAAAAAAAGGTCTGCCGCCCCTGCAGCGTACCAACGTTCGGAACGCTCCAAAGCGTCTAGCCAGCCCAGTCCGGCAGCCGCAGGAAGACGGAAAGCTCCACACACACACACACCCTCCCCCAAAAACAAAAAGCGAAGCAAGGAGAGCGAGCTACCATCACCAAAACCCAAACCCTAACCAACGCCACCACCACCGTCCCTACGCTTCTGCTGTTTGTGGGATGCGCAGCAGATCGGCGCCCGGATCCAATGGCGCGCTTATTGCTGCTGCTGTAGCGTAGGGCGGCGAGGAGACCGGTGCTCGGATGCGGCCGATCCGAGGCATCGGCGAGGAGGAGGACGAGGGGATGTCGTCCGCGCCGGCGCCAGGTGGGGCCTTCGACCGCTACGTCCAGTGCGGTGGCGCGGTGGCGGTGCTGGCCTCAAGCGGCAACACGGTGCGTCGTCCCGTGCTTACCGCCGCGTGGCTATGGGTTGCTTGCGTGGCTGGGGTAGTGGATTGGCTGGGTTTGGGATTTCGTGTGGGTTTGGCATCCGACGCTGATGGGCAAGCATTTCGCTTCCGTGTTCCCGGAAGCTCTTGACCGTACGCTGCTCTGAGCGCTCTTTGTTAGCACGAGTGTTTGCTTCACTGCTATTAATAGGTTTGGCCTGGCCTTGGTTGGATTGTGTTGGAGGCGACGGGGAGATTTTATGCCTTCTTTGGTCCAAGAGCTTTGAATTCCTGGCTAATGATGATATTAGTGGGTATAATTGGCAATGCAGCTTAGGTTTGGATCCAGAGGGCGAGCTTGCCATTGGGGTGTAACACGGATCATGTTAGGATATGGACTACCTGTGGAGATTTTTGCTAGTTGCTCGATGCAAATGCTATGTCCGGACAATTGACGATGGTTGAATTGGGACAGAGTGAACAGATGACTTGAGGGGGGGGGGATGGGGAGAGATTTGCTGTACGGTAAAATAGTGCAGAAATGACTAAGAGGGGTTGTCAAGGAAGGAATACAGTGGTTATAACAAGGCACTAAATAGAATTGCTTCATTGAAAACTCCACATAGCAGTTCCTTACTTTACTTTTACCATATACTCCGTAAAATTTTACTATATGCTGTCCAATGCTTGATTGAGAACTCCATGTCGCAGTTTCTTAGTTCACTTTTACTATACTCTGCCCATCTACATTTCTGATGCCATAACATCATTCTAATCAGGTTTTCAAGAGTGGACATCTCTTCATATCGTCCAAAGGTACACTCTTTGACTTTCCCTCTCTAACTAGTTGTTCCGCCCAGTTTAGCGACATGGATAAGAAAAATTAAGAAGCAAAATGTTTCCATGTGTTCTAGTATTGTCGTGTTAAGCCTTTAAAGCAACATTGGCATGCATACTTCTTTCTTTTTCTTGTGATTATCAGAGGGACCTATGCAGATATGGCACTGGCACTTTTAATACGACTCTTCCATTATTGTTAATCGGTTGCTCAGGTTCTGTAGCTAAGTAGGGGCACTTGAATGTTGGGTAGTTCTCTAAGGAGGAAATCACCTTTAAATTCACGAACTTAAAAGATTTAAGAGTTATCTAAAGAGAAGTTTTTCTTGATGATAAGATATGTTTCTTATCACTAACATATACGAGGAACAGAAATATGTGGTCATGTACATAGTTCCATCGTCACTGTCAAGTTTGTTAGGTTGTCTCGTGTACAGAAAAATGGCCACCAAATCAGTGAACCATATTAATCCTTTGCATATCTGAATCATGGTCTGATATCACACACTATGGTATTAGGGTTCAATTTCACGTGGCTGGTTATGGTAATCTGATGCAGTTTTGGGTACCATGACTTTTTGTCCTAACGGAAAAGAGAATACTTACATATTTGCTTTTCAGGACTTGGATGGAAATCATGGAAAAAACGCTGGTTCATCCTCACACGAACATCATTAGTTTTCTTCAAGAGTGATCCTGTTAGTACCTCTATTCTCATAAGTTTCCTTTTCATTTGTGAGATGCAATACTTTACATTTATACATCTTAAGGCTGAAGATACGATTATTACTATTATGATGATCATACGTTTGAAATTTTCCTCCAAAAGCTTAACTCCTCAAGTATAACACATCATGAAGTAAAATGCCTTTAACCCTTAAATTTGTGGAACATGAGAGAGACATACCCAAGCAGCTGCTCGATCTGGTGTGAAGCAGCGTCATGATCAGATCCTCTTGTATGTTAAAGAATGGGCCTGGGTGATGTAGGGTGGAAC